GAAGAAGAAGAAGAAGAAGAAGAAGAAGAAGAAGAAGAAAAAAGAAAACAACCCAACCAACTTTTGTAATTTTTAGAATTTCAGATTTAACAGTGAAAATTGGGCATGCCACCTTTTTAATTGTATTTCAATTTTATTATGATAAATTTTGAGATAACTACTGAGACTTTTGACCCACATCTGCCGGGGAAAATCATTTATGAGAAAAACCCGAGGAATTGTTTAGATTGATGGATAGACGAACAGACATTTTGCAAAAAGAAGGAAAAAGAAAAGAAAAAAGGGAAAAAAATCTGTTCAGAAGGATTTATCAGGAGTTCTCAAAACGCATATTTCTTGAAATCTCATAATCAATTTTCCACAACTTTCCCATTACTATGAATATTACTCCGTATATACGTACATACACAAGAAAGTGAACTACTGGACCAACCACAGCATTTACTTTCTCGAGTCAGAAACTGTTTCGTAAAATTATAACTCTGCTCTTTCTGTCCATAATAACACATCTCAGCTATGACTTCAAAAACTTGCTACAAATCGTAAAGCCATAGGCGTGCAAAATTATTTGATTGGAAGGTTATTTATCAACACAAATTCGACAATGCAAACCTCTCTTCCATACACCCAGACCTACCCCACAATGAGAAGTTATCCTGAAAATTTCGAAATGCCTTGCTATTAGTATATTGTAACATATTAACTCCTGAAACATTATAGCAAAAGAAGTGCAGGAAATTCGAAATATTACGCTGAACTACTTATATTTTTAAAAAATCCTTCAAGACCTTACTGTGTAAGCTGTAGGCAAGGAAAGAAAACTAACCAAGATGGGTCATTGGCCTGGTGGCTGAGGTACAAAGCTTGTGTCAGCTGTTCTGATGTCATCTGATGAATATAACTACTACTGCACGAAATCACATTTGTAGATAAATTTCCTAATTTCAGTAAAATGGACAGACTGAGGAAAATTATAATTGTTCCTTTAAATAAAACAATGTGTTTACATTACTCCTTTTCCTTGGACTAGAATTGCACAAAAAATTGCAAGAAATATTTTTTATGCTCCTAAAGAAAAGAAAGAAACAAAGAAAGAAAGAAAGAAAAGAAGAAAGAAAAGAAGAAAGAAAAGAAAAGAAGAAAGAAAGAAAGAAAAGAAGAAAGAAAAGAAAAGAAGAAAGAAAGAAAGAAAAGAAGAAGAAAGAAAGTAATTAAATACATTTCACTTATAAACTGTCAAACGTTCGTGAACAACTGACAATTTTTCATTGAGACAAGTAATTCCATGTGGATGCTAAAGACACTTTTAGAATACTTAAAGAAAAATATTTTAAAGTACAGTTTTTTCAAGGTAAATGCAATTACCTATGCAGATATTAGAAGCTGACGTGTTCAAAAATTGAGATTTTGAGATAGACATTAGACATGGTGATAGTTTCATTGCCAGTTAACTGTGATCTGCAATGTTGTATTAAAACTTTGAATTATTTTATCAACCCCATCTTTGAAACACTATTATGAAAAATCAAATTTACCATAACAAAATGTAGGTCAGGAATTACCAATGGGGCAGCACTGACACCCTGGTAGATGAAATTTTGAAGGGGGTCAATGATTATCAGGGGATGGATTCGGAACACTGTATTATGAAAAGTTAGCTTTACCATAACAAAATGTAGGTCAGGGGTTACAAATGGGGTCAGCACTGACACCCTGGTTGATGAAATTTTGAAGGGGGGTCAATGATTATCAGGGGATGGATTCAGGGTTTGTAGCTAAATGAACTGGCAATTGATAGGTATAATCGAGATCCTATTAATTACAAAGGAATTATATGAACTTTATAATTTCTTTCCGACATTAAGCAATAAATTATGTAAATTACAAATTCTATTCTCTTCATTTGTATCCATTGTTCATCCTTAGGATTAGGATGCTGATGCAACTGATGCCCTGCAACCCAAAGTAAGGAGCCCTTAAATTCCTCGCAGACAGATCGGCACAGAATAAAACAAATTGTACTCCAAGCTTATTTTCTCAATTACATCAGACATATTACTATTACAGTTTACCAATTACATTTAAAACTTTTAATTTCACGTTCATTGCATGTAGAAGCCCTGTTTTGACTTTTTGCCTCTGGACATCCTAGATTCAAGCTACACAACTGCTTAGGATGTGTATAAAACTGAAAAAATAATAACCGTTTTCACAACAATATATATTGCGGGAAATAGAAGCAAAATTTGTAATTTATTAGCATCTATTTTGTTGCTCTTTAACAGAAAAAATACTCCCAGCAAATACTTATTGGAGAAATGTTTTAGCCATAAAAGAACAGTCAACATTTTGTAACAAATGTGTGACAATGAAAATAAGCTAGAAACTTGGCTACTCAGAAGTGGAAGTATCTTCGATTATTAAAATGTATGAAATAGCTATGTCTAAGATATTCATGATCAATTCAACAGTTGGGAATCTCTGATGAAAGAATGTTCATCCAACAATCCTATTTATGAGAAAAAAAACTCTCAATTTTCACATTAAATATATGTCTACACAGTTAAGTTTTTTTTAAAACATTTGTTGCATCTACAATTGATACAACGCATCTTCAAGCCCCTTGAGGTGCATTGAGCGCTTTAGGAGTAATCCTCCATTAATAATAGCATGGGAATAATTTTCCATTAATTATTACATAGTCATATCCGTCACGTCTCAGTTGACAGGAAGACCACCAGGTAGCATTTTCACTTAAGCGCCTCCTACTATGCGCTCCTGCTTCACAACTCAGCGCCCAGAAATTGAGAAGGAATTAGGATTGGGGTAGGGTTTAGGACACTTCAGTTGGTCTAGCCCTTGTGAAGCTCACAAACTGGTTTTATTGGAACAAATTTCACACGAGATGGTCTGGGATTCGAACTGGAGCCTCCTTGGTGGGGTGATCGACTTTGTTCTGAGTTACCAGATGACTACAATTTGAAATAGAAGTCAAAATATTTATTTTTGTAATATGAATTTCTTGGTTTGAGGAATTCCGGAATGGAACTCTAACTTGCATTAAGATACCAGGTTGTGAAACTATCAAGCCTATCTTCCTCTGCCCGTATTCTTGGAGTAAACTTCAAGAATTAACTATCTCTTCACCCTTTCTCTAAATGGAATATTATTTTTTAAAAGAAGTGCTTTTAAAGAATAAAATAAAAGACAACGTACTATTTCTACATCAACTCAACAATGGTTAAGTTTATAAAACACAAACTGAAAACAACTTTTTCTCATTTTAATTGTATGTTAATATAATAAATCACTGCAAAATTTTCCTTATCATTTTATTTCAAACAAGCTGCACTGGTAACATAATATTATACAAGCAAATGAAATCAGAGGTTCATACTCTACCAGCTGAAGCATCACTCATTTTACAGAGAACCAGACAACAGTAATTAATACCACTCATCTTATTGAAATTATAATTATTTATAATTATCTACTAATTCCAACACAGACCAAATTCTCTATAACTAAATCATTATAGCCAGTAAGAGTTTCTATATTTAAAGAAATATCATGAACTCTTTGAAAATTTAGATTCAATAAATCAACATTATATGACATTACCTAGCCAGTAGTTCAAATGCTCAATAGTAAAGAACAGAATTAAATTGACCAGATTACTAATGAAACTTTTTCTTTGGTAGTTCCTCTAATGCAAACGAGTTGAAAAATACTGATGTACAAGAAAAAGTGTTATTTCTGGCCCCAGTCTACCCTGAGTTACATTTGAAGTATGTTGATAAAATGATCAGTCAAGGATTTTTAGCAATGAATCATTGATATTTTTTAATTAAATACAAAACCAGTAATGTATAAACATTCAAAAAAATGTTTAAAGAAAAACATGAATATAAGCATCATTTATCACATAATATTCCTTTAATATCCACCATCCATCCACCTTACTAGTCATTAACAGGTAGGTGTAGTACGAACAATTATATTAATTTTTTCATGGCAGTGTTCAATACATTATTCTTTAACAGATATGTAGCAACTTTAGCAATTATTTGAGCCCTCGCATTGCAGTAGATTATATTTAAGGAACTTTATTTGAGCTACTTCACAAACCTTTGTCATGAAAAAAAAACACAACATTCTTTGCATTCCTTTGTCCTTTGTGCAGTTTGAAATATGTAAAACAATTTTTAAAAAATAAGGCAGAATACCATGTAATGGGGAAAAATTGTAAATACTGATAGGTAGAAACCTTGCAATATTATTTGTAGAAATATATGTATCTTTCATTATGAAGAGCAAAGTTATTTGGTTGAAAACTTTCTTTCCAGTAGAATGAAGCCCTTACTGATCTATTTACAGGAAACTGAATTCTCCAGTCATACTGGCATGAACATATATTCATTTCAAATAATACATTAAATAATGGTATTTTGCAGCACATCTGGTAAATTGCTGTGCTACAAAGTATCTAATGATATCACGAAAACATTGGCAAAAGTTCACCATGAGATATATTTACACATCTACAAAACTATCACAGAATACCTTAAAATTGTTGGAGAAATATAATCAGTATTTTTTCATTGTGTATGCAGTTCTGTTAAACATTCGTTGCAATGGACCTTATACAAGAACTCTACAACTCATTTAATAATTATGTTTGGCATTATGTTTTGCAACAAAGATATTACTTTTCACATACACATTATTTGTTTTTGAAAAACTCTCCAAAATTTACTTTTATCTCAAACTGAAAACACAGAATAATAATTTTTTAGTGAATGAACTTGTCCTACCTTTACACAATGTTAAAGCAAATACGGAGTTTGGTACATAACTAAAAATCAGTTCCAGTCTCAGTGCATAATGTTTCACTTTCTAGTTGGCTGATCAAAGAACTGAATTTTTATAAACATTATAAAAATATTCTTGTCCTCTCAAAATTCATGTTTTTCTCCTGTTATTTGAGACAATTTTTTTAATTTTTCTTAATTGAGAAACTATTTGAGAACACAATGTAAGCAGAATGCCACAATTCTTTTTATGTAGATGCAATCACTATCTATTCTCTTCTACATTGAGAGTGTCACTCAAGTATTCTTAAGGAAATTTTGTAACAGCATCATGAATGGCCTTTGCAACATATTCCACATTCTTGGTGGTAAGACCACACATATTTATTCGGCCACTCTTTAAAAGGTAAATGTGATACACATTTACAAGATGTTCCACTTGCTTTGCTGGAACGCAAATATAAAAATACATAAAACCAGAGGAAAATTAAGAAAGTACAATATTTTAGATAACATCAAACAGCCTACTGCAGAGTTGATTTTAAGGCAAAATCTAAGAAAACTTATGAAAGTACGTTGTAACAACAGGGAGAGTGAAGAAAAGGTTCTGAATTATTCTAAGAGAAATTATATTTTGACAACTGAATCTTAAGTATGTACTTTTGAATTCTACTAAGTCAGTAGATCCATAAATATAATAATTTAAAATAATTATGTGTAAAAAACTTTTCAGAATTAGTAATCAATGCCCTGTTTATTACCTTTTAAGGTAAAATTTAATACTAGTACAATTTCAAATACACCAATACGATTTACAATTACTATTCCACTCGTGAAATTAAAACCTATAATGTGTAACTATACATACAGAATGCCCCAATCAGGGTGGTGCATCTCAAAAAGTTTATTGCTTTTTATTACTGCTCCCTACTGGCCAATCAAACTATAACTCACCTAATTTAGGAAGCGATATACATTGATCACTATGTTGATAATAAACGGAACATGTACTATAATATAACCTTTTTTATTTTACCATAGCTTTCAGTTATTTCCAATATTTGGTGCATTTTAGAACTCTGTCGGACATGATTTCATTCGTGGAGTAGTCCTATTAAATACCTTTCATGCTTGGAAACTCTCAGATAAATCCCCTCCTCACTTCGAGAGTCAGGGATTTATCAATAATTTTCAAAGCACTCATGGAATTACCTATGACAATTTTTTATTCACCAATACATACACAATAGAGAAATCGGACAGGGAAATGGGAGGTGTTGTCTTGGAAATAATTGACACACCAGTGAATTTAATAATATACAATCACTACTTACTTGTCAATCCAGTATATGAAAACATTCCTATTTGCTGAGTTATGTGATCCCAAGTTCCAGGAGTTTTCAGTTCCAGAAGTTTATTTCTCAGACTATCTCTCATTAACAGAATTCGATCTGCCATAGTTTTTATACAAGTTTTCCTGAAAGAAAACAATGAAGTACAAAACTTAAGCAAATACTGACAAACCAAATTCAAATCCCATTAATTTATTGTGCTCCCACTTCTCCTTAAAAAAAAAATTAAATATCAAAATGTAATAGAATACAAGAGGGTTCAGGATGTTATTGCTTCATTTAAGAAAGCACAAAAATGTAGTCTTAACTACCTCCTTTTCTAAGACAAGTTATTAAAAAAAAGTCATCTTACCATTCTTCAAAGAGTTTCGGGTCATTCAGCACAGTGGAAACAATTCTTCCACCATGATTAGGAGGATTGGAGTACATGCCTCGAACCAACAGAGTAAGTTGGGACTTTACAGGAGCAATAGCCTCTTTACTGGACATTACAACTGTCAAATTTCCCACACGTTCATCTAAATGAATTTTCAATGATAATATTAGCACAGCAGTTCGTACAAAATAATTAAACACAATCATTACAAAAATTTTAATTTCAGAATTCATTAGATACGTAATTGGTCTACATTAATACAGAGATTACTCACTATACAGTCCAAAATTCTTGGCAAATGATTGAGCAACAAAAAGTTCAAATCCTTGCTCAACGAAGAAACGAGATGCCCAAGCATCTTTTTCTAGATCACCAGATGCAAAGCCTTGATATGCACAATCTAAAAATGGAAACAGCTTCTTTTCCTGGAACAATAATTAATACATAAAGCTTCTCACAAGCAGAGGATGCTAAACAGGTAGTGTACGGGGATTGCAACTTGCTTACAACAGGTCTTCTCAACTGTCAGAATGGGATGCCATGGCATTACTATAGTCTGACAAGCCTATTGTGGCAGATCACATATGTAGTACAACTAAGTCTGTAATATTAATAGTAATTATAATATGAACTTTAAGTGATAAAGACCATAATAATGGACATCATACATACAAAATCACTTCCCTATCTGAACAATTTCCACCAACAATGAAGAGCAATTGATCACTCTTCACACCAAAGAATGAAGAAACAGATCATTAGGGAGCGGATTTCTAATATTTTGCATATTTTTGTCCGTTGCTTCAGAGCATAGCTAAGTAAAAGTTCTTGACATTTGGTTAGAATACAATGGTAGAGAGATTAATACGTTAGTGCACATTAATACATATTTGGGTGATTTTTCCCTTTGATGCATATTCCTGTAATTACAGACACACATTTTCTTAAAATCTGGACTTGTCCATAAATCGTTTCATCTTTTCATAGAATCTTTTTATTTGTGAGCGTTCATTGATTTGGAAGAGCTTGTCACAGGTTTTTTTTCTCTACTTATAGATCATAAAATACTTGTGCAAATGTAGGATATTTCTTGACAAAATATTTTTTAAACCAGTCAGAAGAAATACAGAAAGACATACAATATACTTCATTAAAGTAAATATTTACTTCACTTATTTCTCTCACAAAGAAGGGAAAATTATTTTATGTTTGAACAAAAAATACATCTTTTAATTCCAAACACGCTTCTCATGAATTTTATCAAGGAAGGTTTATAGAGAAAATGAAATATTCTTAATTTTAATTGCATATTAAAGGGCATATTTCAGAATTGTTAGGTCATAAATGCATAATTTTAAAAACATATTTCAAGACTTTTTATGGTTCTTCCTTCATATCATTATAAAAAGACAAGTGTAATCGATATAAAACATACTGGCAACAATACATCATGATTAAAATAACATTGTGTTCCTATACAAATTAAACAGTACGAGTTGATTACAGACAAAACCATGTAACTTAATTAAGATATTTGTAGATTTAGGCTGCATAAATTATTTGGCACCAAAACACTTCAAGTTTTTCAGTGAAGACCATACCTTCATAACATTAGCTATTTCTTTCCACTGCTCCTGGGTTGGATCGCTTCCAGTGGGGTTGTGGGCACATGCATGAAGGATGATAACTGAATTCTCTGGTGCATTTTTCAAATCAGCAATCATACCATCAAAGTCAAGGCCACGCTTATTTTGATCCCAATAGCGATATTCTCGGGGATCATTAAAGCCAGCATTAAGAAATAACAAACGGTGATTTTCTAACAAAGGGAGAATATAGGTAAAAATGTTGCAACACATAAAGAAACAAAAGACCAAATTTAGCTCAGGTAGTAGAAAAAAAATGTATATCTAATGAAAATGATGCATATGCCTACATGAAACAATACTTGAGAATTATTGTTTAGGAGTCATGCAAGATTTTTAAAGAAATATTTAACAAAAGACTATGAACACATTACAAGAACATGAAACATTTTCAGATTTCACAGAAATTGAATGTTAAAGGATATCAAACATTTCCAATTATTGTTATTTTGCATACAAACACAAAAAAAAGTTTTTTCTCCAGGCTAGGATTTACACATACTTCACCTCACAATACTTGCATGTAATTTGAGCACAAAAAAGAAAAATCAAATTTACGTTCTTTAATAAAAATAACATTGGTTTCAAAATATCAACCGCTTATAAAAATTCCAAGGGAAGTAAACACCTCATATAGAAGAATTAAAATTATTTAGATTAAAAGAAACCTTTACAAGCATTATTTAAACTGCAAAGTTAATTTAAACCACCACATTCTGAGATTACAAAATAAAATACAAAATATTTACCCCATGTAGGCTGTGAGAAATAAAATGTCTTATAGCCCAGCTGTCTTGCAAGGAATTCTGCTCCTACTCTAAGGGCTCCTGTACCACTGAGAGTCTGGATTCCAAATGCCTATGAAAATAACAAAAAAACTCTATAATGTTGATGCATACTATAACAAAAAAAATAAAAATAATAATAACACTGTACAGATTCTAAAAGTCTTACTCTTCCTTCATCTATGGCCACATTGGAACCAAGAAGCATTTTTGTAGCAGCTGCACTGAAAGAATCCAATCCCAACACAGGTAAATATTCATGATTCAATGTCTCATTAGCTGCCATATCTCTCTCAACTTGCCGGACCACTGGTAAAACCCATGGTTTTCCTTCCTCAGTTCTGTAAGCTAAAAAAAAAGTTCAGCACTGTAAGCTGAGAGAACTTGGTCGCTGTAATGACTGATGAAATTATGCAATTTTGAAGCATTTACTTTCACAATATTAAGTAAATGAACACATCTCGTACTGAAACGATTTCGGGCTGATAAAACACGAAACTCAATTAAAAATAATTTGTATAAAGCACAAGCTGTTAGTACTAAACGACACCCATATAATTACCTCCAACACCAAGATTCACTTTATTCTCGAAAGTGTCATCCAGAAAAGCTTTGTTTAATGCAAAAACTTCAATCGGTGGGCCTTGTTGAACTACACCAAAACGCGATGCCATTTTAGACTTCGAATTTATATTAGTTTCTACAGCAGCACGCGCAGTAGCACCAGTAGCCAGCCCCCTCTGTGACTGCTTGCACGCAGTGCAGGTCTGCCAGTCGCTGGCACCCTTCATATCACCTTCAACAATTTTGCCTTGGTGGGCGGTAACCCAGGCTGCGCGTCCAGTCACAAGTAAGGCGGTTCTGCGCATCACCTGCCTCATTTGAGACGACATCGCGCGTTGTTTAAAATTTCAATGAGTCGACTTGCCTGTAAACAAATACTTAACCTTAAATCACGCTCAATACCGATAAACTAAATATTAACTGTAACTAAAACTCAAGCACAATACCGTTCTCAAACACTGTACAATAAATAAAACAAAATCCGTACGATAAAACAAATATTAATTACCAGAATGATTATTGAAATATGACATTCTCAAATTTCTCAAGATATTTCAAGTTTTGGGATACTTCATTTACGAAACATCCCAAATTCGTAGCTGAATGAATCATGAGTTGCGTAAACTTTGAAAGCCGATGCGCCGATTAAATGCATTGTTTATTTACCAATTAAAATAATATTCATATATTGATTAATTATTTAGTGATTTCGGGCGCGTCAACGGTTTTGATCTGGTTCTGTGAGTCTAATGCGGGGGCCTCACCAGTTGGGACAAGTTCTAAGCGCCCTGTTGGTCTTCTGGCATGTATGCTTGGGTAGTGCGCGGGTCCATGAGCGTATGCAAGTGTGTAAGGGGAGAGGAGACAAAAATGAAAAATGGAAGATTGCACAGTACTTGGATCTGTCCAGGGATGCTGCAGTGGCATCAACTGTTGCCCTGAGCTAGCTCAGTCGGTATATTCATCCATTGAAATGCAAAGTAATTGTATAATGGAGCAATATAATTACTACATGAATCTTGTTAAGAGGGAAAAGTACCACTTGAATTTACACTTTTATGGCCGACATATATTCGAGTTTTTCGTATCATTCCTCTTCCCATCGTATCACTTCTTATCTTTGAAGGACTTCTAGGATGGACACTCCTGTTTACTCTTCAAAATTTGAATCCTCCCTGCTCTTTACAATTCCTTCGTTTACTTCCTCACGACTCCATTATCGGCTTCCAATACTGACTACACCAAACGACAAAAGTGTTCTAAAAAAGACTACAGTCCTTAATTCTACGTAATATCACATTTTAATATCGAATTTGCTAAACCCCTGTGATTATATTTTATGTCGCACAACAGGAAGAGCAGTAGAAACGAAATAACGTTAAAGTACTACATATACACAATTCGGAAATTTGAAAACTTCGAAAATTGTTGTTTCACGCCGTTTATTACTTATTATTCAAATCATGGTGAAATGATGGAGATTTACAAATTCTGGAGCAATAAATTACTTAATCATTGTGAACTCTGAGTTGACCATATTTCTGAAAATAAAATTGAAATGTTTTATACTTACCGAGCTTTTTACAAGTTCGTTGTAGTGGACCGTAGTAGAATATCTTGCTAATTACCTCTATCTAAAAACGTAATAAATTAACGATTTTTTCTCGTAAAGGGGACACATGCGCCAAATGTTCGCTGGGCATTGCATTTACACACACTCATCTTATAAAACCAGTTAATAAGAGCATGCATCTTAAGATCCACTACCATTCATTTAAAGAAAATAATCACGAAATTTAGTAAAGTCGAAAGCTCAAACAACTTCTAAACAAAACTCGTGTTTTAAATAAATTATACAAACATGGCGGCCATCGAAGCTGAAGTTTCAGAGAATCGTTGTAGTGAATATAGTGGTTCAGGGGTGAAATATTGAAAAAATAATATAAGTCGTTATGCTTGTCGTAGTAGTATATTAGTTGTTACGTAGTGACTGTATCACACGTACATTAGTTGGAATATTTTATAACTGTAAAATAAGGTCGTTCGTGTTATGGGTTTGGCTGGAAATGAATCTATGGAATTGCACTTCGTTCATATTTTAAAGCTCTTATATGACAACTTTGACTTGAGAAATATATATGACAACTTTAAAGTGAATGATAAGTCCATATTTTTCTTTGGTCATTTTCAACCGTTCCTGGTTACAAGTTAGTGATCAATGTGTCTCGTAAAATACCAAAAGTTACAATCGATGTTTCTCTTAATTTTTATTTCAAACCGGTGGAGTTATCACTTAGTGAAACATAATTAAATATGATAAAACATCTCGAAGCACGTAAGTAGAATACTTCACAAAAGGATGAGGAGAATTCGATTAAGTAGTGAAAAGAAGATACCGTTACCAATTTTGAATATTTTTGGGCAATCATTGAACATTAACTTCTACATTCCCTTTTGCTAGTTGAAAAAAATGAAGACTGTTTTCTTTCCCAATAAAATGTTACCAATGTATTGACTGCAGTGTGGTAAAAACATACATAAAAACGTACCTTTCTGATATCAGGGATCTTACAATGCGTATTTCCGTCAAAATATCGACAATAATTATCATTCCCAGTCATTACATTACGTTTACAAGAAAGCAAGGTGCTACAAAATGGCAAATTCCTTCCGGTACTTTTAGCAGTAATTTCCCTTTTATTTTGAGTTGGGGCTACCTTGTACTTTCTTGCTATCGCTTCCGCAGTAGAGAGAAAGTTTTGTAATGCTGCGCTAAAAAATGGTGAATTTTCCACAGAAAAAACTTATTACAGAGCCCTGGTAACGAAAAAGTTGATAAATCCAGTTGCTAACTTTAGAAGAAAAAATCCTCTAATATGTGGTGTAGTCAGAATGCCTGTTTGGTCTTTGATATCGAAATATCGAATGACGTAAGACGACAAAAGTCTTACTGTCCGTTCCGTACATATAAACCGTTCAGCCGATTTTCTCCAAAGATTCCTTAATCAATCTTGCTAATGTCGTGGTCCTTTAATTTTGAAACATATATTTTAATTTTGGGGAGTACTTTACATGAAGCCTCTGGGACATTTCCTAAATTTAAAAAAATGGCTCCAACGTTTTTGATTTTTGTTTGTTTGTTGGATAGAGTGAAGGACGTTTAAGAGAATGGTGCAGATCTCATGTTCGTATTATGGTAAACACATTTATTAGTAAACTAAGAAGGTAAAGATTTATGTGTCGAACCCAGGTTTGTAAAGTCAATGCAATGTTTGAAATAGCAAAATTAATTAATATTATAAAAATGTAGTATTAACAGGGCAACATAAATAATTAAATTAGCAAAATCATAAACCATCTCAATAGATTCAATGTCTGAAAGCACATTAAAGGCTGCACATGCATAAAAAGGTCCGGTTTTGTTACATTTTTTAAATTATTATTATTATTATTATTATTATTATTATTATTATTATTATTATTATTATTACATAACTGTAACACGGTTGCAAATAGTACTGTCAAGTGATTCGGATTTGTGAAGCAAGGGGCTGCAGCCTACGTACATGGACATTTAAGCTATAGTTTCGAAACTCGCGAAAGGTACGAATGTTTAAAGTTGTGTTCGAGGCGTGGAGAGCATTCCGAGTACCTCGTTTATTACAACTGATCTTTTCATGACCTCTTAGCCTGACATGCGACAACTGTTTGTAATATGTGTGTGGAATCTTCTTAGCAGGGTTGCCAGATTAGGAAATTTTGTCCCCAAAAGGGTTTTTTTCGTTGTTGAGAAAGAATGGGGAACGTAAATGGATGAGAAAATATTTGGGGATTTTTAGGGGAAATTATTTTCATCCGTAGTAGAGATAGAAAATTATTCTCTGAATTATTATGAATAATAAAGAAACAATATACGTTATTCTCTCTCATTTTTATGAGCCATAAAGAGAAAAATAAACAACAGGCATTGACAAAGAAAAACATGAGAAAAAGGAAGATAGTGTAAGACTTCGAGCAGCTCAAATGATGATTGGTTGATTTGAATTTAAGGGGACATCCAATGGATATATAGGCTATCCGGGACAAGCCGCGTCACTGACGTGATGGCTAACGTTTCGGCCAGCGTAAAAAAACGTTAGCCACCATGTCAGTGACGCGCCTCGTCCCGGATAGCCTAGATATCACAAACTCCGGCCGCGGAAGCCTACGCAACCAGCCAAAGGAATCGTCAGCGAGAGTTCATGTTCTTGGTCCATAATTTGGAGAATACTTTTAGTTTCAAAGTTGTAACGAACTGGAATTTTGTTTTATTGGAAAGGTTATTTGGGGAAATTCCATAGTAGTGATGGGGAAAAAGTTAGCAACACATGTGCAATCCCTGCTTCTTAGCGTGTAGTTGAGTATCTGGTACTCTGCATTAAGAACAATGGTATAAGCACCGAGATAGGTCTATACGATGTTCGAGATGCGCGATTGTATTATTCACTGGGAGTGTTCCCAGCGGAGCGGTGCGGTAAGTAACACAAGATGCTCTTGATGGAGCTTTTAGGAACCAATAGATGGCAGCTGGAAAGAGGGTGGGGCAAACTCGTAAAACTAGCCCCCCACCCCCACTCAAGAGAATAGGAAACAAACTTATACGAGAAAGTTTGCTAGTGTTTTGTTGGACCACTAATTTTATACACTAACAATTCCTTCAATTTAAGAAAATAAAACGACTTTTTTTCGATTACATATAAATTATATTTTTTTTTGTAATAAAAAGTTAATTTTAATTATATTGATATACTATACTATTATTCATTCATTTTAATAATTTGAATGGATAATTTATTGCTATTTATTTAATTATGGCGTTTATTATTATTATTATTATTA